CCAGCAACTTTTCAGGCCTTGAGCGTTTTGAGCTTTTTACCTCAACCCTGGGGGTCGGAGGCCATTAAAACAAAGGCCTTTCCGGCTCGGCCCCTTTAGGCCTGTAAAGGCCTTTGTTTGCAAATTGTCAATTTTGTAAGTACTATTTGGGCATGGAACTTCTAGCAGCTGCTCTTTAGAAACACTCTTTCCCATCATTCTGTCTCTCGCCCTCTTGATGTTTGAGTGAGCCTTGTTTGACGCATAAACGTTGTTTTCTTGCCATTGCAAGATTTGCGAAGCTTCACATGTTAGATTCTGAAATTAGATCGGGGTGACAGTCGCAATTAAAGGCTTAGCACGATGTCGGAATTTCTGGAACAGCATCAACTATGTGAAAGAAGGTTAGCATAAACAGGCAGGATATTGGTTTTGCAACCTCGGGCCAGCACGTTGGACAAATACATATATATATATATATATATATGGGAACGGCCCAGCAAACAACCTACAAAACAAACGTTAAACAACTACATATTCCAGCTCTTTGCGTCGACAAAGGTCGGTCATGGCAAACCTCGTGTTCAAATTCAATTAAAACCAGCCTAGTACTATAGTACTTTGTTGGTAATGCTAGTGACGTGAGTCAATCGTACTTGCCCGCCACTTCACACAAAGCAACGCACGTGTCGTGACAACTGTAGTAGCTTCGTCCGTGGGTTGGACTGTGAGGTTCCTTGCAGCGTTTGACTTCCCAAGACTAACTGAAATCAGCAAACAGGCATACTCGCAACCCAAATGACTGTGAGCAGGAGAACAGCTGAATGTGGCATGTATGCATCATGAATCATGTTAAGGCCCACGCAGTCAGTGTGTCAGTTGGTGACCCTTTTCAACTTGCGGTCACTGCCTGTACACAAAGCGGCACACTTATCAAGCCCGATTCTTGTTGCGAATTGCTTACGTCACAATTTTTTGTGGGCTCACACATTTTACTGCACATGCTTCTTGTGAGTTGAAGCATGCCAGCAGGGCAAGTCTAGACATCCACTCATGTGACACAACGCCCTGGACGCAGCGACATCTTCAGTCCACAGCAACCTTCGGGACTGTGAAACACCGTGAAACAAGCGTGAAACTACCGTGAAAGGCCTGTTTAGGGCGTAAACGGCCGTTTTTAGGCGTGAACTCGCAGCTTGGCTCCCTGCTCGTTAAGTTCTGGCTGAAACTAGGAGCTGGACCTTGCGTTGTTTGCCAAACATGGCTCACGTACGTGCATTCACGTCTGTTCACTGCAAGGTATATGCTTATCACCCTTATTAGTTGTCCATTTTGATCCCCCAGGCTGGCACACAGCTGAAAGACGGACACCCTTGCAAATGGCGATGCAATTGCAAACGCGGCTAAAACAAACGCATTGCGTGCAAGCAACGCCCAACCGGCAAGCAGTGGAGGAACCGTTGACCCTTCCCAAAGCAGTGAAAGTTGCAAGCACGGGTGCAACTGATCACAGGAGGCAGGCAGGCCCTCCAAAGAATTACGCTGCGCGGGTGGGTTTGGCTGTTGCCGTCGCTCGAATCGCGTCGACGGGCTTTGTATAAATTAGTCAAAAAACTGCATTGTGGGGCAGAAGAACAAATCAGGAGTGCAGTAAGGGTAGGCTGGCAGGTTTCACAGCCCGATATAGCACCAATGTGCAGCTCATGTTAAACACAAGCAGCGCCTCCTGTTCAGGCACTGCCTTCGCCTACTATAACCTAATCACTCGCCTTTCCCTCTCGCTCGCAGCACGGATGGAAACGAATTCAATCAAACCCCGCATCATGCATATATCCAAGTTGCCTTGCCTTAACGTTCTTAACTGCTGAAAAGGCTGCAATTCCTTGCAAGTGGCAAGCTAGTTTCTTTGCTCGCAGTCAAGAAGAATAAGTTATGTAAACGACATATCTGTAGTACAACGCGCTCAGAGCTAGCCAAGCCTTCAATATGAAACTAAGTTAAATTGATGCCTATCTCACTCTCTCTCCCTCTCTCGCTAGAAAGCCCTTTGGACGGCGACAAACTTCAAGATACAAGGCCCCCATGACAAACACCAACAGAACTCTTGAACCGCCACCAAACCCCATTCCAACAGCCATATAAACAAAGGCCCTTTCTATAAAGGCCTTTCTTTTGGCCTTTTGAATCCCAGGGTCAAGTGGCACCCCAAGTATAAACAAGGTCTTTAGGCTTGCTTCACACATCTGAAGCAGAAATGGGAGGGGGGGGGGTCGGGACAGCTTTACCGCGGACCTTGTCGAGCAAAACAGGTTCTCGGGAGGGCTCCGCAAAAATGATCTTCGAAGGGTTCTTCGAAGCTTTGGCGCAAACTTAACAAGTACCAAAACGGTTCCGCAGAACCGCTAGTCGAAGATCCGAGGCAAGTTTTGAAATCACACGCTGTTTTCGCCTAGCTTTCAAAAAAACTTTGTCGAAGTTATGCGGTGGCGGAAATCCAGACCCGCGCCGCTTCCAGAAATCACAAGCATGTGGTTTTCCCAATGGTCTTCAAAACTTGTGATTTGCCCAACGGTCTTCAAAACGCGGGTCCTGTAAGTGTAAGGCACCCGCCCATGTTTTGAAAGGCCCGCAAGTTTGGGCTGGCAAAACACATGTGGCTTCCCCATAGTGCGAACT